CTTAATAACGACTGACAAGATGGATGGAATATGTGCAAGCGAAGGACTGAGAGATAAATACCGGGGTGAATTGATCACTTTATTGGTATGAAACAAGATCAATGACATTTATAACATTGTACATGATGATGATGGTGATGAAATACTAAAATGTATCAATTAGCTAAATGTATCTAGTCGCTTTTTTTCCTCCTTTATTGTTGTTGATGTTATTCTAAAATCAATTATTGTTTTTTTTTTCTGCATAAAATAACCTTGCAATTGCTACCGGTCTCGTTACAGTTTGAGGTCTATGGTTGTTCAAGCCGACCACAGATTGAATCTTTCACTCTTTTCTAGTTGCACTTCGTACGCTGTTAATCTATAGACTGGGGCAGGCGGCAAAATCGCTGGTCGCGAGCCACATGCCGCTCTTTAGTGACCTGAGATCGGCTCGGACACAAATCGGTCGCCTCAAAAGTCACTGGTCACAATTAGGTTTTAGACTCCGAAAAACGTGGTTCTTGACGGGTTCTTGAAAAGAAACTTGGCTCTAAAAATTAACGAATTTGTCCTGCTGCTGATTTTTGGCTCTTTTGACTAAAGAGTTTGCCGACCACTGGACTGGGGCATCCAACTGCATGCACGCACTGGTAAAGAGCACTCAGCACTAGTAAAGAGCTCTCAGCACTGGTAAAGAGCTCTCAGCACTGGTAAAGAGCTCTCAGCACTGGTAAAGAGTTCTCAGCACTGGTAAAGAGCTCTCAGCACTGGTAAAGAGCTCTCAACACTGATGAAGAGCTCTCAGCACTGGTAAAGAGCTCTCAGCACTGGTAAAGAGCACTCAGCACTGGTAAAGAGCTCTCAGCACTGGTAAAGAGCACTCAGCACTGGTAAAGAGCTCTCAGCACTGGTAAAGAGCTCTCAGCCCTGTTAATTTCATCGATCTTCGAAATACCTCAGCTTGCAAACGGAGTCCAAAAGCGAATTCATTACTTTCAGAACGCGAGGCAAATGATTTAATAATCTCCACACAACGTGGAAATCAATAGTCAATTGTTAGGATCTTCCAGGAATGTACATAAGATTTTAACTATTAGTGGTAGTGGGAAAACTTTGCACATTGCGAGACTGCTCTTGAATCAGACAGATTTAAACCTCGACCCTTTAATTTATCTGCCGGAAAAGGCAGCAAAGAAGTAAATGTGGCAACACTAAAACTTTTTTTTAAAAGAATTAACTCATCGATACGTGTAAATGTAGTAAAAAATGTACATGAAAATTGTTACCTCGCTGTAATCGTTTATTTCGTTTCCATAAAAAGCATATTTGTTACTTTGTTCGTTAATAAAGAAAGACCCTGGTCAGTATTATCGTTACCTGTTTTTCTGTGTCTTACCTTTCTGTGTTTTCATAGATGCTTTTTCTGTACATTGTTTGATTCCTTGTACTTTGAATGTTTGGTTTTCTCCTGAGATTTCCGAAAGGTAATTAATCAGTTATGGTTAGAGTTTTGAATTGATTGAATATCGTTTTATTTTTATTATTTTATATATTTAGATTTTGCAGTTTGGTTGTCATCCTTTAACGAAGTGTAGTTGTACAAAAAAAGTTTGCTTTAATTTTTCTTTGTTTACTATCAATTATATGTCAAATTACGAAGTTAAAACAATGGTTTCCATTTGGTAGTTGGAATAATTCAAGCAAACAATTAGATGTACAATTTATTATGTGGCATATTTCGCTGTACATTGCCAGGTGTTTGCTAAAAAATTAGGCCAATTTACTTAAACTAGAATCATTTAATTAATCCGCACGATAAGTATGAAATTTTTTTAGGAAAAAAGAAAGACATTTATCCGATTAAAATTACCGCTGGGAAACTTAATGGAAACAATGATCTAGGTGGGTTATTTCAGTTTCAAGAACTATACATTTGTGACAGATTAGAAGTACATTCACAGTCGGTTGCTGCTTGTTGCTACAATTAGTGGGTTTGCTACTACACACAATTTGTAGTCATTGTTTTGATATTGTGTAAAACGAAACAAGCTCAAAACGCTAATGTATACATTTAATAAAATGTTATTCCGCCATGTTGGTTCCAGGGTTCCATTGTAAGGACAACAAGAATAGACCCACTTACTGCCAATCCAGAAAAGCATGTCGTAAGATTCGACTAATTGGGACCTTCCTTTGAAGTTGGATTGCATCCGAGCGGCAAGGAACCAAGAACTGCACACAAGTTAGCCAGTAAAACGAATGTAAACGGGAAACTCAGGCCCTGGCACAAAGCCTAGGTCCAAAAGGACGAACAGCCAGGCCTTTCCGCCTAAGCTTACAGCCATTGAACAAAGAAGAAGAAAAAGAAGATAAAAATCCTTTTAAAAAAATAATTTTAATTAATACGTCGTAACAGCCAACGTAGTTAATTCATTTATAAACAATAGACATTTTTCTTGGTGCACTTTGGCCGAAAAGGTCAATAAAACAGGGTCGGCACTGACTTTGCGAAAGTGCTCCTCTATCACCTGTACAGAGTTCTATCTCGGACAAGCGCCCATGTGTACAAGTCAAACACCATATTGCTGCAACTGTGAAACGTAATGCACCATGCATCAATTTGGTAATTTATTCATGAACTAGGGGATGGCTACTGACATTAGGCTTAACTATTTTAAAATTTACAATTAAAAAGAAGGAAGAAGAAGAAGAAGAAGAAGAAGGAGAGGGAGAGAGAGAGAGAGAGAGAGAGAGAGAGAGAGAGAGAGAGAGAGAGAGAGATAGAGAGAGAGAGAGAGAGAGAGAGAGAGAGAGAGAGAGAGAGAGAGAGAGAGAGAGAGAGAGAAAGAAAGCTCCTTAAATTGGATGCCATTATTAAAATCTAATGAAAATAGGCGGTGATGCAGTTCTGCAATGCCTTTGCACGAGCTGCCACTGTTCACAGGTAACCACTATATTATTTACAGTTGTCTATGAAATCACATTGCCCCTGCTGTACCCCCCCCCCCCCACACCCCCACACCCCTCAATGTCTGTGTTTTACTTGCGAGTGCATAAACAATAGAGGCTTTATAGCACTTCCGTACTCCTGTTCTCATTGACATTTTATTGGTCGATGCAGTTTGCATCATGTTAAAGGCAACCGTTTTCATAGCGGCTCTTGTTTTGTTCTCATCAGTCTTCTCTCTACTTCACTTTTTGCTCGCCCTATACAGGAAGATAAGGTGTTTTGGCTCTAGCACTTCTGGCAGCCTCCACTTCTGAAGAAAATTGTGCAGCTAGGCGTGACCACGGGATCTGAAGGGCGAGACGGACATACAGTCAGACGAGGAAATGGAGAGAGACGACAGCATAGAAATCGAAGAGCCGTCTGTGTGTATGGATGCCACATGGGGGCGGGTTGGGGATGGTTGAGGTTTTTTCTGTCTAAAAGATATTTCGAAGCTCTGACTTTTGTTTCGGGAGTCCGTAGACCCTCAGTTGGGAACCACTGTCAATAGCGGGAGCATTGCACAGAATGGAGCCGCCGTAGTCAAATGGCTAGACGCTCACCTGCGGATCGGAAGGTCGTGGGTTCGGTTCCTGACGGGGGCCGAACTTTTGCTTTTTTTTAAAGACCTTGTCTCTCAGGTAGACCCAGCCTGTAGTGGATACTAGATACAGTCCTAGGAAGTAAAGGCGGCCGGTGTGATGCTGACCACATCACCAACCAAATCCCGTTTGGTCTATCAAATAAAGGTCTAGCCATATTTACCCAATAAACCTGAAAGGCGTGGAAAAGGGCCCTTTAATTCTACTTTTTTATTGCATAGGATAGAATACGATGGAGGCATCGACGGCGAGTCCTCTGTGACTTATAAACGGCATCAAGCAGTAATGACAAATTATTGTCTCATTCTCTTCTTTTGTCCTACTCATTATGTAGTAAAGCGTTACATAGATACGAGTTATTTGTAGCTTCCTGTCTTTTGCTAGCTGCGTAGCTGGTTTTAATGTTATACTGCGTTTCTGACACGTATTTTTTAACTACCTCCACTCATCTCTTTCTTGGTCGGCCTCTTGACTTGTAGCCTACTGTTCTTATGTAGTAGTAATTTAAACAAGATCCTGTTCAACCCATCCCGGTTATAATTGGGATTTACAGAGTATGTCTTCTATTTTCTGTTCTCACGTAGTAGACTCCTACTGCTAAGTGATTTTCTTCAATTGCATGTAGGACGTTGAATTAAGAATCGACATCACGACAACAACGTCTAGTTTGAGAATGGAAGTGGAGGCAGTCTCTGCGGCCCTCCGCTGGCTTGAGAATCAGCTGTACACACATGCCGTGATTGTAACTGACTCACAGAACATGTTGAGAAAGGTGAAAACGGGCATACTTCGAGCTGAGTAGCAAGCATCACTTCAGAAGTCCCAGGTGGTGTGATGTTGATTCTTAATTCAACATTCGACATTTGACATCATACCACTCAGGATATTCCCATAAGCGCTCCGTCCATATCTTCAGCAGCAAACGCAGAGCACCAGTAACTGTCTCATTGTATATCCGTCTCGCCTTTATTTTGAGTGCTGATCGACTGTTACATCCCCTGGTCACTTCTTGCAGCACCATTCTAATCAGACTGTGCTGAATTATTTATGCCTTCACATTGTTCCATTCTGGAGATGACCAAACCATTTCATTCTTTGATATTCTATTAAATTATTAAATAGTATTGTGCCATGCTTTGGTCTTAGTTATTCGTTGATGACTCTGTCTCCAATGTATAAATAAGAATTAATTATGGAATTTACCAAAATAGCTCTTTTGCACATCGGGAGCGCACGAAACAGTAATTCCATTCAAAAACGCACTGGACTATATCTTGCACAATCGAGCTGGACACAGCCACCGAGATAATATCAATAATATGTTTTTAAATCCATAATGTGAGACTAGGCATTCTTTCACGTGTTGTGCAAATACCAAGTATCCGTGAATCTTTATTTTCCGTTGTCATTTACTTGTATGAGGGTCTATGAAATTCCGCTGTAGAATATACAGGTAAATAATGTATTTGTGTTTTTTCCTCTCTTCAGTTTAAACATTACGACAGACCTTCCTGAGACAGATGAAAACAGTCAACTTAAGAGAAATAAGACGGTCTATATTTGTTTACAGCATAAGGCAATTCCAGTTAGCACAAAGACACATCTCATACAAAGCATATTCATTCCAACCCTATGCTACCAGTGCCAGACGTGGTCACTTACAACAAAACATAAAAGAAAATTAGCAACCATGGAAATGAAATATCCGAGAAAGACTGTAGGAGTGACTTGAAGAGATGAAATCAGGAACAATGTGATAGGAGATAAGGTTGGCACAAAACCAATTCTAAATTACATACAAAGACAGCAAATCAAATGGTTTTCCGACTTGGAGAGAATTCCTCCTGAAGCTATACCATTCAAAGGATATATCAAAAGAGGAGAGGGACGTAGAGCAAGAGGTAGACCAAGAATTACATAGGAAGATAACATCAGAGAAACTCTACAGCAGCATCATGTGTCTATGGTCGAAACAGCCAGAAGAGCACGAAGCAGGCCCTTATATCTCCCTCGAAACCTGAAAAAGGTAAAAGAGGAAGTAAAGGAGAAGAAACATATTTGTTTACATCTGTTTAGGCACAAAATTTACTCCATACCTTGGAGACAGCTGTAAGGAGATTGGTATGAAAGGAGTTAATGGAAATAATAATAA